CAACAAAGATGTTAAATTTTTATCAGGGCGTTTCTCCTCTTCAGTTTGTTTACAAACGGAAAGCAATATTAGTTGATATCTACAACGTTTTAGTCAAAAAGAAAGCGAGCTTTTGAGCATGTCAGTAGATCATCTAAGGTGTCACAAAATTGAAGACCAAAACAGTAGGGACAAGGACATTTTTCTCAATTCTAGTTGTCGTCGTGTTTTTTCTTAACATCACACAGAGAACTAAATTGTGATCACTGCGATTGATGCAAGATATTTAACTGAATACTGAGAAATCGCCGAAATTTAACAATAACTTCTAGCACTCTTCTCCAGACCCTCAGAAAGGTGAAGGAAAACACATGGCTTGTGCAAAATGTTATGAGCCTCCCACTTGACGACGAATAAACGACAAATATCTCAATAAATAAGAAAAAAACATATTACACGTGGCATAGCAAGGTTTTCAATTTTTTTTTTCGGGATGTCGCCTGGCCGTAGCTAGTAACAAGCAAACCGAGGCGCTTGCCTCAGTAATCTTCGTTTTTTGCTAGTTATAGTCATCATAAAAACCCTACATACCCAGAGAGAGATTTCAGCCAAGGAGATTGCCTTAGTTATATTTATTTCTGGATAGGGACCTGAGACCTATATATCTTTTGAAATTGTTTTTCATGTCAAATAATCGTAATCGCTTGAATTAACTCAGTAACTGCCCCAATTCAACTTACACACATCAGTAAAGATTGACATTTAGGCGTCTTTACTTCTTGTTCATAGGCGATGTTTTACATGTATTTCTAAAGTTTCGGTAAAGGTGACGAGAACTCAATGAACTGTAAACAGTGCAAACGCACATCACCTTTTCTGCCTAAATGTAGGTTTATTCCAGCAAAAAAAAAGGGCAAAATGAAAAGCAAAGTTCCTGAACAGAGGTTTGCCTATTTTGTGGTTGTTTTTCAATTTACAAGTGCCTGGTAAACTCCTGTGGTTCGTCTCGCACTTGGAGAGCTCGCACTCGAAGAGAAACAGGTCTTAATTCAACTTTTTCTACCTGTTTCTTCCAACGTTTTTTCAGAGCATTTTTAAAAATTTGCATTCTAAAGCTATATACAAATGGATTCACCATAGAAATGGCTAAATATAGGACATTAACTACCCACAGCGAAAGCTGAGAAAAACATTTCCAACAGAATATTTTGATTGTATACACAACGAAAGCAGGCAGCCATAAGATAAGAGACACGGCAACTACTACGTAAAGTGTCTTTGAAAGCCATGCATTGTGTTCCAATGATCTTTTGTGAGGTACTTCTAAGCTGGGTGTTGCATGGTTCAATCGCGAGCGAATCGAGAGGTAACTTGCACAGATAATAATGAGAGAAATGAGAAGGAGCACATCAGAAGCGACAATAGCATGCAAGATATCGACTTGTGCGTGATACACCGTTAAAAACGACAGTCCTGCGATACACAATCCAGCTCCCCAGACCGTAACGACGATACTGAAAACGTAAGCTTGCGTTCTTGTTACGCGATGACGCAGTGGCCACAGCACGGCGTAAACGCGCTCCAAGGAAACAAGAGCGAGGAACATTAATGGCGTAATAATAAAGTGTATTATCGTTTGTCTCACGATGTGGTCACTTGAGATGTAGATCGCGACGTTTCGACTGCTTACTGCTAGTCTTCTTCAGGCGATAAGGTCGACTGATTGCACGGTATCATTTATATCACGAAGGACGGCTGTGATTGGTGCATTTCGATCCTCCTATTGTTCCATTGTTCCGGCGAGTAGCTGTTCCCTCAGTGGTCCGTTGTTGTACCGTTCTCCTGT